CCAGGAGTGGCTGAAGGTCATATCACTCAATGTACCATACTACCCAAAAATGGTACAATACTTCTACAACAACATCGTCTACGAGCGCAATGAAAATGGATCCATTCACGCATTCAAATCCTATGTGAATGGGGTGGCGATGCGCATCAGCAAGAATGTGTTGGCGCAAGTACTGGAGGCTCCAAACGATGGGAGGAGAATCAATTCTTACGGTGCTTGGAATGAAACGCATTTCACGAGAGCCAAGCAAATCCAGACGGTATGTGGTCTTGATGAAGAGGAAGATGCTCAGGGGCGCAATAGGCCATCGAGTAACCACCTGACAGTTCAAGCCAGAGTTCTTCACCACATGCTCTCCTACAACATTCTGCAAAAGGGTGGACATCGGGAGACAGTCACCTACTTCGACATGGAGCTCCTCACCAACCTACTGTTAAACGAGAAGGTGAACTTGCCATACTTGATCTTTAACCACATGCTTACTGCTGCAGAGAGTTCAAACAGGAATCTTCCCTATGGGATGATCCTCACTGTGATATTTGAGCATTTTAATGTGAATTTAAGTGAAGAGGTGGGGTTAAGGATCTCAAGGCAGGAGTTCTATACTGTTTCATCTCTGAAAAAGATGGGCTTTGAGCTGCGTAATGGTGAGTATGTCAGAGCAAACATGGCTCATGGTGGTGCTGGTGATGATGATGATGATGATGAGGATGATGATGGTGATGAAGGAGCTCGAGACGAGCCAATGGGGGAGGCACAGACTTCAACTCCACCGATCACCTTACAGCGTGTGTGGGAGCGCATGGATGGCATGTACGAGTACATGGGCCAGATGTCCACCCAGATGACTTGCATGTACGACTACATGGGGCAAATGACCGCCCAGATGAGCACAATGCAGGTGACCGTGAATGAGATGCGAGATGAGTGGCGATCTTTCAGCGGAAGATACATGCATCCCACCACATCCGACCACCATCATGCTACCACCACCAATGAAGAAAATGAAGAAAATGTGGATGAGGGAGAGGGAGAGGGGGGAGATGAGTAGGAGAGAGAAGATTTTATATTGTGTGTTTTAGTTTTCAAAAGGATTGTTGATTGTTATTCTGTTGTTTTTTTAGTTTTATTTTTATGTGTGAACAATTATGCTATGATGGTTTTTTTTAGTTTTATTTTATGTGTGAACAATTATGCTATTTTTATGTGTGTTTTATTTTTAGTTGTTATGCTATGAATTGATGAGTCCTTGTTATAATTATTAATGACTAATTATGATGGTTTGAAACATAATTTATACGATTAAATTAACCACACAAATCGACATACATAAGCAAAAAAAGACACGGGGCATAGGTTGACTTTCTTGTATTCGGTCGACCTCGTACCGGATTAGGTCGACCGAGAAACCAACACTTGATCTCATTTTACGTCAAATGATTGGACACTTTGATTGAACACTTATCTTCTATCTGGTCGACCTGTTTCCTTATCCGCTCGACCATTTTGTTAATGACTGTCATCAAGTGGTCGACCTATATATTAGGTGGTCGACCATGTTGTTTCTGACGCCAACGAAATGGCCGACCGAGGTTTTATTCTGGTCGACCAAAAATACCAACTTAAACTAAATGCGGTCGACCAGGTGCTCGTGGCGGTCGACCGCAACGCTTTCTCGTGCTGCCCAAATTAGTCAATTCGGTCGACCGCCCTCAGGAATAGGTCGACCGAAAAATGCATGTCACCGTGACATGCATGTCATAGTAGGCATACCCTTACTTTTTTTATGTAGCATTTTATCTTCTATACTTAATCCCAAATACTAAATGTTATTCAAATATTATATTTTTCGGCAACTTTATTTTATTATTAGACCACAAATTACGAAAATTTACGTAACGATGTTCAATAAGAGTTAGGTATATTACGAATATGTAAGTTTTATGGAGTGACCACAGATTATGAACAATTTATGTAACACTGTTCTATAAGATTTACGTACATTATTATTATATTAAAAGGCCAAGCAACAATAAATGGACAAGGTAATTAAAAAAAATTCAATGTGTACTATTCACAAGAGTTTCTATTACCTATACCCAATTTCATCATAAGTTTTATATAAATCTTATCGAGTGACCAGACATTACGAAAGATTTACACAACACTGTTCTATAAGAGTTATGTACATTACAAATAAAATATGCAAATCTTATGGAGTGATAATTATTTCTTATGTACACAATACATAAGTCCTTCGTAATTATTAGCATTTGTATAGTAGGTATGAAAGGATAGTTATTTATTAAGTATTAATTAAATAAATTTATTACGTAAGTACTTTATAATATAAGTTTGAATGAAAAATTGTTTATTATTAACTAAACTGTTGACTATCACATCAAATTGGATTACACTAAGGTTATTTCCCTCTAACAGTTTAATCAATGTGACATTCTTCACAATTTATTTTATTGACTAACTATTTTTATTTTTAAATAAAATATTCACCATGTCATAAATTTATATTTCAAAAAGATTACATAATGTTAGTTAACTTAGCTTCTACATGACCGTTTAAATAGGAGCAATGTAACTAATAAATTCCCAACGGGTACCGTTCAGGGACGGGATACGGTGACAACCCCTAAGGGGTTGTCAGATTTACAACCAAGGGTATTTTGGGTATGAAAAAAGGAATATATTAATTACCTTATTTGTATTAATTATATTGAGAATTAGAAACCCACATTAAATATAGTTTTTTTGAAATTTAATTCATAGACATTAATATCTCTATCTATCTCTCTCTCTCTTTTTATCCAGCGGCCACTCCGCATCCACGGACAGACTTTTTCTTTGGCGAAATCTCTTCGGCAGACTCCCTCCGGCAACCTGAAAAAATGTAACAGTGCGTTAAAAAGTGTACCAATCCATTAGTCTACTGGTAATTAATATACCAGTGCTAGTGGTACGCTACCAGTGCGTTAAAAAATGTACCAGTGCTAGTGGTACGCTACCACTACCATATTGTATCGTACCACTAGCACTGGTAGCGTACCACTAGCATTGGTAGCGGTACCAGTAGAGAATAACACAAAAAACCGATAGTAGTGGTACCAGATGATAGTGGTACGCTACCACTACCAGCTACCTGATGGTAGGGGTAGGTACCACTATCACTGGTACGCTACCAGAAGAAAAATGGTACCACTAACAAACCAGATCTAGAAAAGGGGAGTCGGTGACGGGAGAGAGAGGTAGGGAAAGATGGTAACCTCGCAACGGCGGCAGTGGTGGGAGACGAAGGGCGGCGAGAGGGCTCGGACGGGGAGAGGATGATTGCACCGCGGTGGTCGGAGGGGACGTTGCGACGACATTGGGTGGAGGGAAACTGAGGATTGCGGAGACGATGGCGGTAGACGGCTGCTGCGGGAGACAGGGGTGGCGACGCCGGCGGTGGAGGGTTGCTGCGATGGAGGACGCGGCAGCGGTGGAGTATGGCTGCGTGAGAGAGGGAGGAGGGGGAGAGGGGGTGGGAGGAGTTAGGGTTTTGTTTTTAATTTATATGGGAGGGTAAATGATTGTGTATGGTAAACTTTTCCATTCCAAAAATACCCTTCGTTTAATCTTAACCATCAATTTGAAAAAAAGAAGAAAGAGACAGGAGAGAGAGTGTATCCAATGGTGAGGAGGTGGGTTGTCAAACTCACAACCCCCTAAGGGGGTTGTCATCGTATCCCATCCCTACCGTTCACAATCGCTTCAATTCCCTATGCCCAACGAAAAGGTTTCATAATGTTATAATTAATTTTATTATTAGACCATATTTATGAAAGATCTACGTAACAAAGTTTGTTAATAGTTACATTACGAAAATATTTCACAATGTTAGTTCACTTTTACATGCATGACAGTTTAATCAAATGTGATACTATTCATAACTTATTTTATTATTAAACCCCACATTATGGAGTAATAGATATTTCTTATTTATCACTTGAACAAACTTATGGCATAATTCATTTGTAATGATTTAGACACTACGAAAAGCATATGGTGATATCTTATGTAAATTTTATGAATTACTACATCATTACATAAGTGGATGAAATTTAAAATACAATTAGTTTTACCCGCTGCGCAGCTCGGGCTAAAAAAAATAGTATAGATTTAACAAGCAAGTATGTAAATGTTGGGTTGTCAAATGCTTGGAAGTATTCGATCATTGTAATATATACTTAGTTTTGTCCATAGTTGGGAAATTAAGAAAGATGTGGCAGCTGGTTTGTTTGATTTGATTAGTTAATTTTATAGGAGGGAGGTTACCGCAAAACTCGAGTTTGTGATTTGCAGACGGGCCACGGATCAGCAGAATTTGACCGTCCGATCTCATGCACCTTGTTGGGTTGATTATAACTAAAAATGAAATCGAAAAAGAGGAAGGAAATGGAAATTAGACGAGAGAAGAAAGATAGCCTGGGTAACTAACCAACTAATCAATAATCTAATAGAATTAATTAATGCTTGCATTGGGTAATCAGACATTTATTTAGTATAAAAACGCATTCGCTGCACCCATTTTTCTTCGAAGTGAATCAAGAAGCCACACAACGTACACCACCACCACGCCCAATCTTCCTCCGTCAAAACCACCTATCTATCTTATACATAGGAGGCGGCGAACGGAGATTGATTGAGCACTCCGGCGGCCGGTTGCTGTTGTTGTTGTTGTTGTTGTTGTTGTTGTGTGGGGCTTAGCTATCACTTCCTTGAATAGTACGATAATGAAGAGCACCACCATGATCACCTTCTCCCGCGTGCTCCTTCTGGTCGTCGCCGTCGTGATTTGCCTGCAGGCCAGCACTAGCCACGCCGTCCGACCGGCCTCGGCGAACGACCCAGCATGTAATTCTTATCAACAAGTACTGTCGGGCAGCTGCATGGACTACTTCACCGGCAAAACCGGCGGCGACCATGTGCCTCCGCAGTGCTGCAGTGTCCTCACGGCCTATGTGTCCAAGTTAGCAACCAAAGGGGAGAGACAACAAGCCTGCACATGCTCCCACAACTTGCTCACTGCCTCTGGGGTGAAGCAGGACCGCCTCTACAAAGTTCCAGCAGACTGCAAAATACCAGTACAAGCCGACTGCAGCAAGTAAGAAAACTCCTCCATATACATATATATTTCTATGTATCCTCATCACTATTCACTAACATCGATCACTACTAATTTCCTTACTCCTAATAAAAATTATTTTTGCTCCCGCAGGGTTGATTAAGTGGTGATATTGATTGCTCTACTCGATCAATCGCTCCTCTTCCGCATATTATTGTTCACACCACTCAGCCGCACACATGCAAGGAGTTCATTTTCCACCAAGAAAGTTATATGAAACAACATGTATATTGTTATAGATCCTTCTAATTAATCTCCTCTAAAAAAATGTCGCAATTTCAAGGTTTCTTTCTTTTCACTATGTACAATAAGTGGCTCCCCCACAACTATACTTAATAAATTCAATATTATCTATATATATCTACAATGAAACATCTTACTCGATCCAGAATCGCGAGAGTATCAACTACTTATCTGCATATGAATAGTGACAAAATCAGGAGTTTAAAATAATAGTTGAAAGACGAACAAGGGATTGGTCTAGTGATAATACCACTAGCCATGAACCTGGAGGTACCATGTTCAAATCCCTTCAGTAGTACCTAATAAAAAAAAATAACAACCTATATCACTCTTATCTAAAAAAATAAAATAATAGTTGAAAGTGGCTAGAAAAAAATTAAAAGAAATACGTACAATAATATATTCGAATATCTGATCAGCTCTGATCTTTGATAACATTTAACACTAGCCAAATTATTTGCCTAAGAAAATGGAGGTGTTCATTAATTTTTGTCAATAAAGAGTGCTTTCCTTTCAAAAATATCAAGCAGGTTGACATCACAAGATTCTGATGTAGTCAATCAGATATCAATAATCGACACGAGTGACTGTGTGTTTGTATTATTTGGTGAATCTATTATACAAGTTTGAAGAATGAATTCAAGTTTCTTTACAAATTAACCATCGATCTTGAACTCCATGGCGGGCTGAGAACTCGATTCCCATCTTGTCAAGTGCCTGTGATGCGGCCAATAACAATCGTACGAAAGCTGTATCCAACTTTGTACCCTCAAATTGCTCCATCTTCATTCGCTTAAATTTCGCCCGAGTATTTATAGCCTATGTTTGTTCTGTCTTTTAAAAGTGATTTTCAGTTTCAAAAGCTGAAATAAAGTCAAATACCTTTAAAAACTCGGCTTTTGAAAAAGGCCAAAAGCGTTTTTGTATAACATAAAAACAGAAGCTCCAATTTGGAGCTTCTACAAAAAACTGTTTTGAAAATACAAGATTATTCTTACCATATTTTAATTTTATTTCAGAATATATAAATTTATTTCATTTATGTGATTTTAAAATAAAAAAATTATAAAATCATATTATTAATATAAAAAAATCTTACAAGATTTTTTTTGAATACTTTTTATTGTTTAGAATTTTTATTCATAGTTTATATTATAAGTCATTAATAGTCATTTTACATAACCTCTTATATTAAAAAGCACTTCTAATAGTTTTTCTGCCAAAAACTCAACTAATTTTTTTGAAAAGTACTTCTCTAAATGATCAAGCTAAAAGCTGCTTCTGCAAAAGTATCATGGTTAAACTAGGCATATTTGCGTTTACCTGACTTATACAGCTTCTGCGCCATCAAATATGTGTTGCTTCCCAATCTGCAAATATTCAAAAACAAAGCCAAAACCTTATGTAGACGAAGGCAACAAGGAAACAGGTGCTTAGAATATCTATATACTAAAAAAAATAAGAGCTAATGTGATAATTTTAAATTCAGACAAATTGTCATTAAAAGTCGGAAAATGTCACAATAGAGATATGTCGATGTTTTACGCAAATGGCACAAAAAATGTGACTTAACCAAGTGTTATTTTGCATACAAAAATGTCACTTACAATTGTCGGTACCGCTTTTGTGTGACATTTATTATGCATACTGCGACACTTACAATTGTAGGATAAAACATTTTTGTTGACTTTCTAAAGTGTTATAGGTGATGCAAATTGTGACATTTCATATGACATTTGAGATACTCACGTTGATGATTAGTTCATGGTGATTACCTAATTCCCTATGTTTTCCTCTCTTTGTTTCTTCGCCCATCCCTTTCTGCAACTTTTGAACCAAAATCAAAAATTCAAATCCCTCCTTTTCTATTGCTGTTGTTGAGTTCCGGAGAACCCGTTTTCTCCCCTTTCCCCCTTCAGCGTTTGGAAACAATAAGAGCATGAAGAGGGGGAAATCGGACACACCCCCATATCTCTTCTTCTTTCTCTCTCTTTTTTCTCTCCACTATCTATTAGCGAAAGTAAGCATAACAACTTTTCCCGCCTGATTGGCCCACTACCATCGACGATTCCCGGTTTGGCATCTCGCCGCCGGAACTCCCCTCGTTGGTTCCAGTGGCGCCCCTCGTAGCCGGATTTCTTTTCTCTCTTCTCTTATTTAAGCTTTCTTGAGTTTCTTTTTCAGTCTTCCATGGATTCCACAGCGGGGAAGTCTTGGGAGGACCTATTCACGATAGACGAGACTTGCAGATTACACTATATGGAGTCTGATTTAATTGATGGTGCATTGCTTCTTCCGAAGGATATGCTTGACATAGGAGCTGCACGATGGCAAAATTGTCTAGCATATCAGTTCATCTCCTCTCCCCCATCTCTCGCAATTATCCGTAGTTGGGCAAACAAGCTTTGGGGAAGAGATGGCAGAATTAGGGTATCTTGGTTCAGCGATAAACTTCTAGTATTTCAATTTCCTAATGAATCAACTAATTCATGGGTCTTTCATGGTGGTCCATGGCATCTTTGGGGCAATAATTTGTTCCTGAGAAAATGGGAAAAAAGGATCTTGTCAGTCACTCTAGAGAAGCCAGGTCCGCCAATTTGGGTGAAGATTTTGGGTCTCGATATGAAATGTATGCTTCCTGAATGCTTGAGCAAGGTGGTTAGTTGGAAGGCCTTTTTGTTCCCAGTTTACAAAAGTGAATGAACAATTAGGGTTTGCAAAATGCTGTGTTGAGATTACGGTGGAGTCAAAGTGTCCTGAGGTTTTGCGATTTGCTCCGGATGAAGGAACTTGATTTCCCAGCATATGTTGAGTCTTCAATTTGCCCTCAATCTATCATAAATGTAGTAGGTTTTGCCATGACTGCAGTAAGGAGGAGTGGAATAAGAGGAAAGTATGGGTTCCAAAGGCTAGAAAGCAAAATCAAGAGGAACATGTGGGGCAGACTGAGAAGGTTCAAGAAAAGGTTCAAATGGAGATTGTGGCTCCAGCAGTTGAGAATCCTCAGGAAGTTTTCTTGGTTGGGTAGAAGGGTGAGAAGCTTGGGGTTTGAATGAAGAAAATAGTGGAGGAATTAGTTGGTACTATGGTAATCAAGAGGAAATAGTAGTGGCTGGTACTGAAGGTAGCTAAAAGGAAGAATTCACTGGTTTGCCGTCTCAATTAGAGCAGGAGAATGCCACTGTTACTGACCAGTTTCCCTCAGAGGAAGAGTTCCAATAGGTAATTTAGAGTAGGAAAAGTGTGAGCCTTGCAGTGGCTGCAAAATTCTCAAAAGGAAAAGCTGTAATTGTTTCTTACACAGGGAATGGAGGAAGTATTTCTTTGTCAAATGAGTGTATGTCTGTTCCCTCTCCCATTCGGTTTGATTATATTACAAAAGGGAGGGGTAAGAAGAAAGGGGGTGTGGGAAGGCCTTCTAAGAAGCAATGTTTATTGCTTCATGGAACATTAGAGGTTTTAATAAAATCTCTAAACAAATGTTCATCAGTATGTGTCTACGTGCTCAGAATATAGATATTATGATGGTTCTGGAAACTAGGGGAAAATGGGGAAAATTAACTCTGATTAGTTTTCTTATTGGAAGTACCTGGAGAATTATGACAAGTCAACTAATGGAAGGTTACTCCATTGATAAAAGAAGAGAATTTTAAGCATTTGGAGGTTAGGGGGAGAGTGGATAGTCAAATCACAGTGGTATATGGTTCGAATGAGGAAGCTGTAAGGCGAAATTCTTATGCTAAAATGGAGACTATCCAAGTAAATAATGAGGCATGCTTAGTTCTTGGGATTCCACCTTCATACTTACTGCATCATAAGCATAAAATGGGTCTCATCCTGGGACTAGCGGCCAAGACTTTCAGGGAAGTATTGATGGTATGAATCTGGAAGAACACAAAGTAGGTGGGGATCATTTCACATAGATAAACAAACAAGCTCGTAACCCTATAGCTCGGAAAATTGATCGAATATTCATAAATAGTGCCTGGTTAGCAAGATTTCTTGGTAGTTTTGCAAGCACTGTTATTCCTGGAACTCATTCATATCATTGTGGAGTGCTGCTCCATTCTTCACCTAATCAGAAAACCCTGCCTAGACCTTTCAAGTTTTTAAATTTTTTGAGTGATCATCCCAGGTTTAAAGAAATTCTGCAAGAGGTTTGGAGTACTAGGGTCTCTTGTTACCCTTTCTTTAAAATTTTCCATAAGTTGAGGCTGTTGTCGAGAAACTCAAGGAACTTAACAAGGAATTCTACTCGAATATTTCACTAAGAATTTGAAAAGTAGAACATGATTTAAAGGATATTCAGGAGCAAGTATTTTGTGATCCATCTCCTCGGTTGTTTGAAGAAGAGGCTAAGGCTCCAGCAGAATGTATAGCCAAAACTTTCAAACTTGTGCCAATAATAGCCAAATTTGGAGAAATACCAATTGTAGCCAGAACTTTGAAACTTTCATGACAAATCTAGCCATTTTCGTTACAAACTTTAACAGTGTTAGAGAATCCGTCAATTAGGTTAATGTTAGAGTGACTAGAATGCCAAATCATCGCACACGTCAGCGACAAATCATCATACCATTGCCACGTCAATTAATTTTGAGTTATAAAAATAATTAATTTTGAAACAAAAAAAACATAATTTTTTTTTTCTAAATTTCCCATATCGTCCACTTCCTCTCTAAATTTCCCTTATCAAACCTGGCGACGGAGGCGAGCATCTTCTCGAAGACCTGCAACCAGCAATTTCTTTCCACTCTAAATGGAGGAAATTCTTGTCCACGCTGGGAAGATGGTGTCGCCAGAAGAAGATGACGGGTTCGAGTGCCTTATTTCTGAAGGAGAAGACCGATCTGAACTATATCCCTCCTTGTCAAGGCCATGTCAGATCTGGTGATTGGAGCTCGCTGAGTGACTGGATCTACCGGTTCTCGTGGGCGACAGATATTGAGGGACAAAAGGCCGCTGATGTCGGGCTTGCAACGACGACGCACGACGCAGTAGCTAGGTGAAACCGGCGGCGTGTGCCGCGGTGGCGAGGACTGACCGGCAATCTATTGAAGCCGACGAGTGTGTCGTGGCGTCGAAGATGACACAGATCCGCGGCGCGTGGTGTGGAGCGGGCGGCGACAGGCTGCTGGTCGTCGAGCTAATGGCATCTGCGGATCAAGATATGAGAAACTGGCTTTTGGTATTCTGGGTAGAAAAATGAGAAAGGGGATGTGATTACAAGTGCGAATGGGTTGGTGGGATTTACATGGGGAGGCGAAGTGAAGAAGAGGAAGGGATTTCTCTGATCTGGTAAATTTGGGGGAAGATGCGGTTTAGGGATTTGAATGGGTATAGATTTCGGAGACCTCTCCATTCTCCTCTACTAGCAATTTTTTTTTTTTTGTAACTCTCCTCATCTAGCATGTCTGTTGGGAGGAGATTTTTTATTTATTTTATTTTTTATATTTAAATCCACGTGACAATGTTACTAACGAAACGTGGCCACGTTAGAGTTTCTGTTGGTCCAGTCAGCATGTAAACTCACACCGTTAAAGAATTGGACGGAAGTGGCTATAAGTGGTATTTCTCCAAATTTGGATATTATTGGCACAAACACAAAAGTTTTGGCTATACAAGTGTACTATACCTTTTTTAAACAAAAAGACCGGATTCAAGCGATTTCAGGAGGGGATAGTAACACAGCTTACTTTCATCGGTACTTGAGGGTGAGACAACATAGAAACCACATACCTTACTTGAAGAAAGATGATGGCAGTATTGCAACTAAAGTGGATGAAAATAGGGGGACAGGAGTAATCACCGTGGTTACTAAGGGTAAATTGGGTATGGAAAAATAAATTATATTAATTAATTTTTTAATAAATTACATTTTAGGTAGTTACAAAAATCTATTAATTAAAATGCTCTCTTTCTCTCACTTCCGTGATCTCCAGCCAGATTTTCTTTCCATATTTTTCTCAATCTTTCTGCAAAAAAAAAAAAAAGAAATGAAATCAGTAACAATCCATCAGACAAACACTACCACTTTGAAAAACATCAATACCATTGCAGAAATATATCTATACCATTACACGAAAACTACCATTGCAGAAATAAATCTATACCATTACACGAAAACTACCAATATAAACAATCTATACCATAAACAATCAATACCATTGTAGAAATAAATCTATACCATTACACGAAAACTACCATTGCATAAATAAATCTATACCATTACACGAAAACTACCAATATAAACAATCTATACCATAAACAATCAATATCATTGTAGAAATAAATCTATACCATTACACGAAAACTACCAATATAAACAATCTATACCATAAACAATCAATACCATTGCAGAAATAAATCTATACCATTACACGAAAACTACCAATATAAACAATCTATACCACTCAATTTACAAAAACTACCAATACAAGGACGACCTACCAATATAGAAATTACGAAAACTACCAATACAAGGACGACCTACCACTCAAATGTAGAAATTACGACATGGAAAACTACCAATCAATAAAAGGGAAGTGAAAACTCACGAGGATCCTTGATTGTAGATGTCGATGGAGACGGAGACGTGATCGGCGCCTGGAAATGAAATGGTACAAGAACAAAAACAATAGAAGGCAACATCAGTGCGTGGAAATGAAATGGTACAAGAACAAAAACAAAATAAGCATCCGCAGGGTGTCTGGCAGCTCCCTGTGGCAGCATCATGGGATGGGTAATGTGCGATGAACATCACGAGCTCAGGAAGGCCGGTGAAGTCCGGCGCTGATGTTGCCTTCTTGTGGGACACGATGAACGGGACGTCGGAGGCGGACAGTGCCGACGACACGAAGAAGAGCGGGGCAAGTAGCACAGAGATCAGCGCCTTCGGCATCGGGATTGCCATGGATAGCAGCGGGGCGATGATTTCTGAGTAGATGAGGGGAAAGGGTAGAGAGAGAGGGAGGGAGGGTACAGAGGGGGGGCTGCTACCGGCGGTGGTCGGGGCTGCTGCCGGCGGTGTGACGGGAGTGGTACGTGGAGGCGGCTGCGACGGGTTTGGCTGGAGGGAGGATAGAACTAGGGTTTAGGTAGATTATATAGAATAATCAGGTGTGGTCACTTTTTAATTTCCAAAATTACCCTAAAAGAATCTTGACCGTAAGATTAAAAAAGAAGAGAAAACAATTAATCAAATGGTATATAAAGAGGTTGCCACCGTGATTACTAAAAAACAATTAATCACCCTAACCCATTCCTGAAAATAGGCCAGGTTGTAGTTGAGTTTTATAAGAAATTGTTAGTGGAAGAAATTGAAAAGATTTTGGTCCATAAGGTTACATCCTCGGATACTAAAAAGCTATGTAGCCCTACATTGGTATTGATTTTTTGTAGTGGTATTATTTTTCTGCATTGGTATTGATGTTATTGTATTGGTAGTGATCTTTATGTATTGTTATTCGTTAATTCTGGAATGGTATTGGTTAATAAGTAGTATATGTTGTGGTAGTGGTAGAGTTTCTATGTTTTGATATTGAATTCTTGTTTTTTTTTTCAACAATAGTATTGGTGTTTTTTAAAGTGGTAATGCTTTTCAAATGGATTGGTATTGATTCTTATTTGACTTTTGTAGTGGTATTAGTTCGGCTCAACGGAGATAAGGAAAATATTGAGCAAAATAAGGAAGAGAGATTTGGCAGGAGATTGTGGAAGTGAGAGAAAGAGAGAGAGAAATAATTAATATGTTTTTGTAACTTCCTAAAATATAATTTATGAAAAAATAATTAATACAATTTTTTCATATCCAGTTTGCCGTTAGTAACTATGGTGAGCACTCCCTGAGGTTGAATGCAACATGGAATGCTTGGGTAAGCTCACGAATATCATCTACATTGTCATCACTTATCACCATATTATCCACATAAATCAAATCGGAAAGTAATATCGTAAACTGTATTGTGAAGCAAAAAAGAAGGATGGATATCACTCTTAGTGAAACCATCATGCACAAATATATTAATTAAGGAACTTCTCAAATCATTCCTGGGGAGCCTATTGAAGGCCATATAAAGAGCGTAAAAGCAAAGAAACTTTTGAGGAATCTACCTTATTATATCCGGCGGAACACCCATATAAATAGTTTCTTTCAGATAACCGTGAAAAAATACATTCTTCACATCCAACTGAATTAACGTCCAACCCTTCATAACGACAATGGTCAATAATCTACGAACACTCTGCATCTTGACTACTGGTACAAAAATCTCGACATAGTCAATACCAAACTCCTACTTCAATCTCTAAACCACTAGACGTGTTTTGTAATTATCAACAGAGTTGTATGGATTCATTTCCATAGAAAACTCCACTTGCTTCTGGTTACCGAATATTCTTTGAGCAACAATGGTACCTTCGACAACATCCTAGTCCATGTGCTAGAACAGAGGTGGAAATGGCATAAAAGTTATCCCGCCCAGAGTAGGTTACTCTCAACTCAAACAACAAATTCGGGCCAAGTAGCACCAGCAACAAGTGATATTATAAAAGATCACTCGATGCGATCAACCTGAGTATCCACTCCATTACTCGGGCAAAATTGAGAGAACTAGTAGAGGGCCTTCAGTTAAGGGTAGCAAAATAGCTTGCACCGGTAGATAATCGCCAAAATTCGACCTAATTGGGTAGTGTAAAATTCAAAGCAAAAAGAATTTCAGTAGGCATCGGTAAAACCTGAACTTGAATATTACTTACGATGGGTTAGCATAATTTTCTCACTATCCAATCTAAATTCGCCAAATTAGATATATGTATGATCGATGTATCTTTATTTTGTTTAGAAATAGTCATTATTTTTTTAGCACAATCAATAAAGAACGGATAGG